TAAATTATTTTAGTCAAATTTCTTCTGAAAGTGGTACAAACTAGTCTGATGTACCTATTAAAGTCTACTTTAAGTTTTAAATCAATAAATCTTCAAAAGTACTGAACTGAAGCTCATGTATTTTACATCATCATAAAGGGAATCGAAAGACCTTTAAAATAAGGTATCACTCGACCCCCCTTTCCATTTAACATTTTAGGGTTGGTGTCACCCCCGCCCAGGGGGCGGCACGTGTTAACGTGATTTTTTGTCAAACTTGTGTCCCCCTCGAAAACAAAATCGACGGGTCTGAGCGTTTTCCCAAAAAAAAACTGAGCTGCCATTAAATGCGTCTGTTTCGTTTTCGATGCGCCACCCTGTATATGAATGAAATCTCTGACGTTTTAGAACACTGCAAAATTCAAATATTTGCAGACGAAACATTGATATATGTACAGGGTGTTAATAAAGTATGTAGACAAACTTTAACCATCGCTTCCTTGCTCAATTTGAAGACGAAATTTCCATAAGAACATGGGTCCTCAACGGCTTTGTTTACAAGCTAGAGCATCTTATCACTAAAAGAAATGATATTGTTCTAAAACATTATAAAAGAATGGAACGTATATTTTAATTAACTATACCCTGTGGTGAATATCACATGATTTCCAGTTGTTTTAAGACCCTTCATGTACGTAAATACGGATTTATTAACAAACTGTATATAACACATAGACATTTGGACACAGCTCTAGAAATGTTAGTGATATTAAGAAATTATGAATTAGTTAAGCTTTAATAAACTTACAACACTAATTAAACAAAATGTATGCCAATAGGGAACCATTTAGGCGAGAATACACCTAGGCTCATGATTAATAAAGAACAAATCGAAGTTGTCGAATTATTCAAATGTTTGGGTATATATGTGGATAGTAAACAATTACGAGTATATATCAAGAGCATTATGAATACATTATTTCAATAATATCAAAAAAGACAAGTTACTTCTATATAGTTTTCCATAATCTCAGTATGTATTCCAAAAAAATTGTGCATAACACCATTTTTTATACTGTTTAACCATTTTGTTTACAGCAAATGGAAATATATTTTCAAAATTACAACTTATACAAAATATAGTGCTATGAGAATCATTTTAAGTAAAAACAAATATGCAAAGGTTAAGTATATGTTAGAAGAATTGCAGTGGTTGAATGCTAAACTACACTCGGAAAACTTCCCAAAATTAAATAGTCATTATCATAATTACCAAACTAGAGATAGTATAGATTTTCATCTGCAGAATTGTAATAGTAGCATAACCAGCAAATCTGTATTTTAAAAGCAAGTATTTGAATTCAATAAATTGAATAATGATATTAAAGTGTATTAAAGTGAATTTAAAAATGTTTAGGTGAAAATAAAAAATCCCTTTATTAATACCCAAAATGCATAGTGATGTAATTTTAATAGACAAGAATTTAAAATTACAGAAAATAAATTCGAAAAATATGTGTACAGTTTATTGTTGCATAACTTTGAGATTCGATAGAACTTTTAAAATTAATGCATAAAGTTTATATAAACATGGGTCGAAAAATGCGTGGCTTCCGAAATACAGGGTGTTTAAATTTACTTTCTAAAATAGTTTTGTTTTAAATATTTCCAACAATATTTGATGTATAACAGTGAAAATTGGTATACAAGGGTTTTTTGGTACGACAAAACGAACCATGGGCATAGTTTTGCTGTAGCCGCTAGAGGGCGCTCTCTACTGTACCTGTAGTGTATTAAAATGACCGACAATTTTTTCTTAGTGCAATTTTTTGCTTTTTGAATAAAAAAACCGATTCTTCGCACTTTTCAACATAAAAAAGCTCTCTTGTGAATTTTCGTTATAGTTAGCCGTTTTTGAGATATTTCGATTTTTAAGGTTCGACGCATTTTCAATTATTTATGATAAAATAACGTTAAAAAGTTAGTATCTCGATAATTTTTAGAAGTAGGCTGTGCCTGCAAATATTTTTGAAATTGAAAGCAGAATAAGTTCAATTAGTTGACAGTTAGTTTTGTTGTCTGTTGAAACCTGAAACGTTTTTTTGCAATTGTGAATGCACGAAATTTAGTTTCTTTTACCTGTTTTTTTCTGTAAGTTTTATAAAAATGCCATTTTTATTCTCCAATCAGGAGTTAGCGGATATTCATTTTGTGTATGGCTTTGTAAATGGAAACGCAGCAGAAGCAGCCAGAGAATACGCACGAAGATTTCCAAACAGACGACATCCAACTCGCTCAGTATTTGTAAGAGTGCATCGCCAAATAATTGAAAATGGTTTTGGAAATCTCCAAAGGGATCAAAACATAAATGTTCGTCAGCGCAGATTTACCCGTATGATTCTGCGTGAGTTTGATAGAGATCCGACCACAAGTGTTAGGAGAGTTTCTGGTGCCTTGGGAATTTCAGCAAGCCATGTTCACCGTGTTCTTAGAAATGACCATAACGTCCTTACCATTTGCAACGTGTGCAAGGACTACAGCCAGGGGACGGAGAACGAAGAATCACATTTTGTCAGTGGATTCTTGATAGAACTGATAATAATAGGGAGGTTTTAAGTAACGTTTTATGGACCGATGAGACATGCTTCACTAGACGTGGAGTGGTAAATTTTCATAATCAACATATTTGGTCGCATGAAAATCCGCATGCAGTTCGGGAAAGAAATTTTCAGCATGCATTTAGTGTGAACGTGTGGATTGGTATCTACCGTAATCGGCTGTTTGGACCCTACCTTTTGCCTGCAAGGTTAAATGCTGCGACCTTCTTGGAATTTTTAAAGGCTGAACATGCAAATATGTGGGATGATGTTATGTTAGATTTAAGAAGATTGGCCTGGTTCCAGCTTGATGGTTGTCCAGCTCATTATTCGAGAATAGTTAGAAACTGGCTGGACGAAAATTATCCAGAAAGAGGATCGGCCGTGGAGGACCAGTCGCCTGGCCTCCACGATCCTCTGACCTAAATCCATTAGAATTCTTTGTGTGGGGATTTCTAAAAGAAAAAGTGTACCAGACTCCCGTAACCACATGAGATATGCTAATAGACAGAATCAGGAATGCATGTGATGAAATAAGGCCTTATTTGAATAATGCTATACCACGTTCGATCATTCGTAGATGTGAATTGTGTATTGAACAATTGGGTTTACATTTCGAGCAACTACTTTAGATTTTGTATGTTTTTCCTAACTATCCAGTAGCATTTTAGTTGTAAATAACTAATTTAATTTGTTAAAAATAATATTGGAAAATTAAACAAATTAATATTCTGTTCTGTTGTGTTTATTTGGAGTTAGGAATTATTGCTGTGTTTAAAAACACAATCTAAACGATCATCTTAATTACTTGTAATGCCCAAATCGAAAATGTAAAAAAATATTATTTTCCCATAAATAATTAAAAATGCATCGAACCTTAAAAATCGAAATATCTCAAAAACGGATAACTATAACGAAAACTAACATGAGAGCTTTTTTACGTTGAAAAGTGCGAACAATCAGTTTTTTTATTCAAAAAGCAAAAAATTGCACTAAGAAAAATTTTTCGGTCATTTTAATACACTACAGGTACAGTAGAGAGCGCCCTCTAGCGGCTACAGTAAAACTATGCTCATGGTTCGTTTTGTCGTACCAAAAAACCCTTGTATACCAATTTTCACTGTTATACATCAAATATTGTTCGAAATATTAAAAAAAAAACTATTTTAGAAAGTAAATTTAAACACCCTGTATTTCGGAAGCCACGCATTTTTCGACCCATGTTTATATAGACTTTATGCATTAATTTTAAAAGTTCTATCGAATCTTAAAGTTATGCAACAATAAACTGAAACACCCTGTATATAATTGACATTGTAGCATTAATGTTAAATAGAATCTTCAACCAACTAACAAACAAAATTGCATTTTCTGAAAAATGCCCAGCCAAAATTCCAAATTTCCGAAGAATTAGTTCCAATGTCGATAAGGGATAGAGATATCTCTGTTTCTACTTGTAGAACTAGACACAAACTTTCGAATAGTAACACTCACCTGTGACTGTGTGCTAGACTAGACACCCTACTGGCCCTCGAAGATGTAGCTAAAGGTGAACGAGGCACTAGTTGAGTGGTCCCATATTCACTCTCCAGATTGTAGTCGAAACTGTAGTCGGTGTCCACGCTTTCGTCCGCTAGGTAACTGGTTTGCTTCGCTTGCGCGTACAACGTCTGAGCTTTCGCAATGCCCTCTTTCCAGCCCTGGAACAAATTGCTTCAATAAGAATGCAGAATGAAAATATAACTCGTTTTTCCCCCGAAGGGTAGAAAACGATTATTTCAGGTCTTGCCTAGGCTTGACCCTGGTGAGATTACGTCCCCATTCCCTACCCTAATGTATGCCCCTGTGCCCCTCCCTCTACTCCTATTCTACGTCGGCTAGCCCTTCTGCGCAGTCGCGGCCCAGCGTTTGCCTTCCGTTGTAACGCCACGAATGCCGCGATGCAGGAGGATCCTCAGTACCTCATAATAGTCGTCAAGGACTTATTGGGGTCAAGCCTAGGCAAGACCTGAAATAATCGTTTTCTACCCTTCGGGGGAAAAACGAGTTATATTTCAGGGTCTGTGCCGTCGGCTTGACCCTGGTGAGAAGTGTTTGGTATCTGACGACGTAGAAAAGCGTACTGTGATTCCATAAAAAGAAATATTATCAGGTACTTTGCATCTTAAGAAAGAAGTCTGCGCGTGTGTGTATGCATATGTAAAAGAACACAGCTCTAACACAACTCAAACATTTATTGAACAGTATAAGAATACAAAAAACAAATGAACTAAACCATTATTTAAAATAACAGGTACTCTGCTAAATAGGAACAAATGTTTCCTTACAAATACTATGAAGAGGTCTCTGACAAGACACACGTTTTACTTCCTTAAAGTAGTGCTTGAAAAAGGTCTCTTGACCCTTCCAGTTGCCGTTTTTTAGAATGGTGTCTAACGGAAGCTCACCTTCCCATCTTGACGATGCTACCGCAGCTCTGATACTGCCAGGCGAAGTGAAAATATTTGCCCCAACCAATGCTGTCTTTACCCATCCAGCTATGATAGCTCTTGAAGCAGGCCGTACCTGGGCCCGGCAAGTGATAAAGAGTGAATCCAGGGATTTTGCTGCCCTTCTATGCGCAGAAACAGATAAAAAACGTTTCGTCCAATAAACGGGGTCCAAGCTCGTATCGTCGTTTTGGAGCAGTTTCCACCCCGACTGCCTATAATTACTCTTATCTGTTTTGGATCCAAACTCCGGCCAAAACGTTACACACTTGCTTTCCATTAATAACCTATCAGGATTCATCCTTAATAGAGTCAAGTCATGCACTCTTCGTCCAGAGGCCAATAGCAGGATCAATGCTAACCGTCGAGAGACTTGGAATAAGCTAGCCTCGTCCACTTGATCGGCTTTCATCCAAGATATCAAATCGGACACATCCCACACGAACTTCTTTCCAGGGATAGGTTTACTGATGTCTATTGCCTTTAGTATGTGCTTGACTACAGGATGAGACGTGAGATGACTTCCTAACTGGGGATTGGCCAGCGACGATATCACGGACTTGTGTAACTTCACAGTGGCGGGAGACAGCTTTCTAACACGAAAAAGATACGCCAAATATTGTGCTACCCCTGAGGGCTCTGGATTGGTAGGTGACATCTCCCTACTCTTAGCCCATCTCAGCCATTCAAGCCACGAAGAACGGTATGTCTTCCAAGTGGAACCACGCCAAGAAGTTTCTAACAGCTGAATATCTTCTTCACACCATCCTCGTACGAGTGCAGCCCACCCTGTACCAACCATGCCACCAAACGAAGATCTCGAGCCTGGCTCAATGGCTGCCCGGTCAACGCATCTGTCAAGTGGAGGTTCAGATCCGGTAGCTTGAAAGGCGGCTCTATCACCCGAGATATTAGATCCGGTTTCCAAAACACCTTGTCCCAATTGGGGGTGATCAGAATGTATCTTCCCTTCGCTGAGTTCAGGTGATGGAGGACTCGGGGGATTAGTGCTGGAGGCGGAAATACATATGCCAGGGAATAAGTCCACCTCTTGCTGAAGGCGTTTACAAAAACCGCCTGTTTGTCCCGTACGTCCATCGACGCATAAGCTGGTACCACCTTCGACTGTTTTGAAGCAAAGAGGTCGATTTCCGGGGTTCCGAAACGGTGGAAAATCTGATTGGTCAACTCGATAGACAGATGCCAATCGGGAGGGGCCTTGTTGCGAGACAGGCTGTCTGCTACGTCGTTGCATATGCCTGGGATAAAGTGAGCTGTCAGAGTGATATCCAGACGACTGCAAAGGGTCAGCAGCTTTACGGTAACATCCAGTAACATCTTTGACTTTGTACCGCCTTGCTTCCTTATGTATGCTATCACAGTTTTGTTGTCTGACTGTAGAAGAATCGACTTCCCAATCAGTCGACCACTCCGCTGTCGAATGGCAGCATACACAGCGAACATTTCCCTGACATTTATATGCCAATTCTTCTGATAGTGGGACCAGGATCCCTTCAAGGCTTCGTTTTCTAAGACTGCTCCCCAACCTATGTCCGATGCATCCGTTGTTAGGAAAATCGTTGCGTTTTGGTGGAAAATTGGCGACACCTTGTGAAGGTTTTGGATCCACCATTGACAAGCTGATAACACAGCTGGGGGAGCTCGAAGATATTTCCTCGGCGTTGATTCGGATAGGAGAAGGCACGCTCTCTGCATCCCCCGAACGTGAAGCCTGCCTAAGGGGATCGCGAAGCTGGCGAAGTTCAACCTTCCGATGAGACTTGTAGCTTGGCGCCAGTTCCATCGTTGATGAGTTTGAACCCAAGTCAAAGTCTTCTGAATACATTTTTGTTTCTTCTTTGGAAGGGATATTGTGTTTCCTACCGTGTCCCACCTTATGCCTAGATACTCCACTGTTGTACATGGTTCCAACATACATTTCTCTCTGTTTATAATCCATCCCAATGCCTCTAGAAAAAACATTACTTCTGAAACCTGTTTTTTCAGGATGAGTGGGCACTGATGCGCCAACAGAAAATCGTCCAGATATACGATTACACGTATCCCTCTGACTCGCAACCTGCTCGCTAGCCAATTTGACACCTTGGCAAAGGTTGAAGGGGCGCTCGACAGACCAAAAGGCAGGCAGGTCATTTGATATAGCATTCCCTGATGCAACACTGAGAGGAATCTTCGATATCTTTCCTTTATTGGGATGTGGAAATATGCTTGCGCAATGTCGATTTTGACCATGAAGTCCCCTTTTTGTATGAAGGCTGGGACTTTTAAATGGTTGATTAGGTGAAACTTGTTTGGATGCAGAAATTCGTTCAGAGCTTTTAAGTTGAAAATTGGTCGCTTGGTACCATCTGCTTTTGGAACTGTGAACATCTTTGAAGTGAAGCCCGTCGAGTAGTGGGATCTTTCCAGTACACCCCATTCTAGCATTTGCACTACCTCTGATTCCATACGAGGTGTTGAAAAACTGTGTCTGGTTGAGAAGTGGAATAATGGAGGTTTTCGGATGAAAGGGATTGAATAACCTCTGATTATTTGAAGAATAGAATTGGGCGCCCCTTCCTTTTGCCACTGGTTTGCATAATACTTTAAGCGACCTGCTCTGAACTGATCTTTGTCAGCGCTTCTTGCAACGAACGGGGGTGGAGTGTGGGTTCGATGATCCTGCTGAAACGGAATAACTGCGTTTTCTGGTTCCTTTCTTATATCGGTTCTTCTCAGCATCTTTCGTGTATGACCTCGGCTGGCTTGATCCTACCATTGTAGACTGTGGCATCTTTCGCGTCGCCAAATGCGAACGAAAGGAGCTTGCATCTCTGTTTTGAGATTCAAATCTTGGCCTCGAGGCCCGAAAAAACTGCCCAAATTGTTTTATCAGGTCGGTAAATGCTTCTTCCTCGAACAGATGAGTCTTCGAGGGCGGAATTGCATCCATAAGCGCCCCTACATGTGTATTGAGCGGCCGCAGTGCCTTTCTTCTCTTTTCAATTACTTCTGCGCGCTTACCGCACACATATTGCACCAAAGCATCTGATGTGACCTTAAAGTCGCCATCAGGATCCCAGAACTCCTCCCGGATATCCTTCCCCAGTTCCGGATACTTTGCCGCTAAGGCCTTTACTGAATGCGAAAAGGCTTCTCGTTGTAAAAGTAAGCCATGCAAAATAGTGCCTAAAGTAGCATCCATAGATGCTAACATATCAGGCGTTCCTTTATTTCTGGAAAGTTGCGGGTTGACTTTTAAGGCGCTAAAAACAGGCGAGGCCTGCAGTTTCTTCTGTGCATCAACATAACGGATTTTATTGAAAGAAGCCTGCCCTAGCCGCAAGCAGTTCACCCCCTGGGCTTCAATATGTGCGTCCGCTTTAGGGACTAGAGGCTCTTGCTCCTTGGTTAACGGAACAAAACTGAAGTCCAAGTGATCTATGGGACTTTCTAGTATATCCGTCTCGTTTGGTGCACTGAAGCCTAGGTCTAAAGATGGAGCAATATTTTCTTGATCATCCAAATCCGATTCCTCATCTGAATACCTAACATCTTGGATAGACGTGCCTTGGTCGGAACGTTGTTCGATCTTCTCCAAAACATTCTGAACTAATATCTTTAGTTCCTCCTGGCTCCTTTCCAATTTATCCATTCGACTCATCTTTCTTGGCCTCGGATCAGAAGCACCCGTTGATGAACTCTCGCCCTCCGAAGAATCTGCTGCCAATCTCCGAGCCGCTTCTTTTCTTGAGATGAACAATGGCCGAAGTGAGTCCAGAGAGCTCATTACTAGCTCGTGATGAACTGCAGATCCCCTTATTCGACACGCCAAGGCTGGAGGACCAATAACCAGACCGACACAAAAAGGCCAATTCAGCATCCGGACCTTCATTTCCCGATATGTTTTCTCCGATAGGTTCTTACAATCCGGGATAAATGCTTGTGCTAGTCCGACCGTTGGAAGGGCAAATCTCAACTTATTGATCAGCTGAGGATCCATTGGATCCTCAAATAGAGATGTTCTTTCTGTAATGGCCACCTTCCAGTTCTTCCAACCATCCGGAAGGTGTTGCGATGCCAGTAGTTTAATGCGGTTGAGGATCCGCGAGTCTCCATGATCTTCTGGCGACGGATCCGCTAACTGGCCCAGAGTCATAGTGGATGGTCCTGGAGCTGCCTGCAGACAAGAAACAGCAACCCGTTAGAATCTCTACAGCCAAGGTATTCTGAAGTGATAGCTAATAACTTGATCAGTCGGCCCAAAAATGAGCCGACGGCTCGACGAAACAATCCGACGGCCTGTTAAGTGACCCGACCGCTCAGAATCGGGCCGACGTCTCCGTAATTCCAGTCGTCGGGTCCACGAATCGAGCCGACGACTGATTCAAGCTAGTTGAGCCGACGGCTCGAAAGTCGAGGCCGACGGTTACGTATAACGAGCCGAAACTGCTGATATAGCAAGAAGGAACTACAAGGAGGTACATAGCTGCTTGGTGCGAACTACCCTCGGTAATGTAAGTGATTGACCGGGGGTGCAAGTCACTTCACAACAATAAAATTGATGTTTCTGAATCATAAAGGATGTCTGAAGTAATGAACTCAAACAACATGTCGGTCTGCTAGGTAAATAACAAAACAACTTCACATGCCGTTTTGGCATTAATGATTTCGAGTAGAGGGAATGAAATCAAAACAAAGGGGACTTACCATCATACCATAATGCACTGTATTCACTCTCGCGAAGAATATGTACAGAATAGGAGCATACACTAGCGCGGAATAAAGCGTACTGAGGATCCTCCTGCATCGCGGCATTCGTGGCGTTACAACGGAAGGCAAACGCTGGGCCGCGACTGCGCAGAAGGGCTAGCCGACGTAGAATAGGAGTAGAGGGAGGGGCACAGGGGCATACATTAGGGTAGGGAATGGGGACGTAATCTCACCAGGGTCAAGCCGACGGCACAGACCCTGAAATACATTATTTTATACCAACAAAATCGTTTATGCAGTTAAGTTAGATTAATAGTGATACCTTTTCCTCTACCAGGCACAATCTCTCACTCTCGCTCTCTTTAACCCTGTCCCT